CTGTTATGTGAACAGAATCTCTTCACAAAACCAACTATTATGCGTTTGCAATAATCGAGTTTGGACGTTATAGTTAATTTGGTTAATTACACAAGACGACATAGTTACGGTTCCATCATAAATTATAGTAATTATATAATATAAGTATTTCCGATCGTTCGTATCACTCGGTACTCATCACTCCATTTTTCATCGTTAATTAGCTACTAGTTCGCCTAGTAATTGGTTTATTTTAAAGAAGCAAATCGAGCAAATCGTCGCTATACGCCATGTCTCGATACATGAGTATCGATTCGTTTCCAGGCTACGCACGTTCGCGAAGCGTTTTCACCTAACTTCCGCCTGACGGTCTTTCGGCGATCCCCGCACGGTTGTCGCGCGCTTATGAAACTTCCACTGATTTCCTGCTACGGAACATATTGCTGATTTATGGAAGACAGCTTGTCGACTTCCTACCTCTCTTCCTTCTCTTCCTTCCCTCGATCTATCGAGTCGAGACTCGCGATGACTTGCTGCGAATGACATTAATTTTCACAGCTGCGTATAATTATACGTGTGTATTTACTGTCGAAGAACAGTCTATCGGTTACTTAATTTATAATTTAATTATTCTGTTCCATTTCATCATCTTTTCAAATCATTTGAAAGTTACAGTTATAAAATAATTTCTAAACATTTTGCTACTCATAATTGGTACTTAGCGTTTTTTTTTTTTAATATGAATGCTAAAAAACAGATCGTACGATCTGTCTTGTACAAAAAAATTTTAGCTAATCAACTGCAATTTTTTAAAAAATATTTTGTACGCGCGTACGTTAATAAGAAGATTTATATAAAAGGGTTTCATTTTCTTTAGGCAGAAATATAAGCGTATGTAGGTTACGTTGGAAAGCAGCCGAGTTGAACGTGCGGGCTGCGTAATTGAACCGCCGTTTCCACGTTGTTTTATATCTTTTCTCTCATCGCAGATATTATTGTTCTTTCTCTACTTGTCATTATAATTCCGTTGTTATCATGGAGGCCTCTCGTTCCTATAATTTCAGAGAAGCGAGTGGACGTTAAGTTGTTTTTTCTGCATTAAAGCTACTGTTTCTTAGTATTTTCCATTTTACACTAAATTAGCTACTAAAATTAATTAATTAATAAATTTTAG